ATGATCTTAAAGATTTGTAACCTCCAAGATAATATGATGAACTTACATTATGTACTTTTAAAAATGATCTCGTTTCCGAGCTTACATCAATTGGCTCACGACGTACTCTCACGTACGAAAACATGGGATGTAACAAAATATCATGTTGGATCAGGTCATACGACCTCGGCATAATTTACGCATGATAATTTTTTGGAACTCTCCATAATTGATATTGCTTAAATGTCTTGAACTGTAAGTTGTTAAATGATAAAACTAAACTTGAAACTAATATTTATGAAAGAAAAATTTATTATTTCCTGTTATTGAGCTTTCAGTATTATCCATGAAATCCATGCTTAGTATAATATTTTTAATATATTATTGTTAGTCCATAGTAAGTGTCAAAGTCGACCCTTCGTTACTACTTCTTCGAGGTTAGACTGGATACTTACTGGGTACATATTGTTTATGTACTCATACTACACTTCTGTATTTAATTGTATAGGATCTGAGGCATGTGCATCTGGTTAACGGTCCGGTGCGCATTCTTGATCCTGGTTCGAGATTTTACAGTGAGCTGCCCCCTTCAAAGTCGTTCAGCAGCATGCTGAAGTCTCTCTTTTGTTTTGTTGCTATCTATTCTATTTCAGGCAGTAGGATAGTCATCTTTGTATATTCTACTAGTTGCCCACATACTTGTGACACTAGATCTTGGCACACATTAGTAGACTAGTGATTTTTGGGTTCTGTTCCTATGGTTACAAATGTTTCTAACTGCTTTCATTTATTTACTTAAATCGGTTTCTTATTAAGTCTTTTAAATTAAGGTAAATTTTGCTACATGGGAAACTCGTAAAAATGGGAAATTAGTAGGTTGTTCATTGTTAGTTTGTCTAGTAACGGTGCTGGATGCCACCACGGTCTGATATGGAATTGGGTCGTGACACCTGAATTCATGAAGATGTCGTGGATATTAGCACACAAAAAATTAAAAATCATCTCAAATTCCTATTTTAAGTCCCTAAAACGCAAAAAAAAAACATAAGGAACGGTCACCTGAATTTTAGGCGATTTAGAACTCGTCGCCTGAATTCATGAAGATGGCATGGATGTTAGCACATAAAAAATCGAAAATTGTCCTGAATTCCTATTTTATGGCCCTAAAAACAAATACAAGGAACAATCATAGTGAGCAATGACTATTGTTTACTCTTTTATTTCTGATGGGCCTATAAAATATTAGGCGATTCGAAGCTAATCACCAGAATTTATGAAACGGTATGGACATTAGCACACGAAAAATCGGAAATCGTCTTGAATTCCTGTTTTATAGCCCTAAAACATCAAAATGAGGAATGGTCATGGCAAAATAATGATTATTGTTCATTAATTCATTTTTATGAGATCACAAAATTTTAGGTGATTCGGAGCTCATCGACCGAATTCATGAAGATGGAGCACATAAAAAATCAAAAATATGATGAATTCCTGTTTTATGACCTTAAAATGCCAAAAATTAAGGACAGTTACGGAGAAGCAATGACTATTATTCATTAGGTCATTTCTGATAGGTCCACAAAATTATAGGCAATTCGAGACTGATCGCCTGAATTCATGAAGATGGCGTGGACATTAGCACACGAAAAATTGAAAATCCTGTAAAATTCCTATTTTATGGCTCTAAAACACCAAGAAAAACGATGAACGGTCATAGAGAAGTAGTGACTATTATTCATTAGGTTGTTTCTGATAGGCCTTCAAAATTTAGGGGATTCGGGGCCGGTCCCCCAAATTCATGAACATGACATGGACATTAGCACGCCGAAAATCGAAAATCGTATTGAATTCCTGTTTTATAGCCCTACAACACCAAAAAATGAGAAACAGTTATGGAGAAGCAATAACTATTGTTTCATTAGGTCCTTTCTTATGGTCCCATAAAATTTTAGGCGATTCGAGGCCAATCGCTCGAATTTATGAAATGGTATGGACATTAGCACACAAAAAATTGGAAATCATCTTGAATTCCTGTTTTATGATCCTAAAACATCAAAACGAGGAACGGTCATGGCAAAGTAATAGTTATTGTTCATTAGTTCGTTTCTTATACGACCACAAAATTTTAGGCAATTCAGAGCCCGTCGCCCGAATTCAAGAGAATCGCTTGGACATTAGCACACGAAAAATCGAATATCGTCCTGAAATCCTATTTTATGGCTCTATAACTCCAAAAATGGAAAACGATCATGGCGTAGTTGTGATTATTATTCATTGGGTCATTTTTTATGGGCCCACAAAATTTTAGGCAATTCGTAGCCCGTTGCCCGATCTCATGAAGATGACATGGATATTTGCAAACGGAAAATTAGAAATCGTTCTGAATTCTTATTTTATGATGCTAAAAACTCCAAAAGGCAAGGAACAATAAAGGCACAACGATGTTTATTGCTCATTAGGTTGTTTCTGATGTGCCCACAAAATTTTAGGTGATTTTGAGCCCGTCACCCGAATTCATGAAGATGGCGTCGACATTAGCATACGAAAAATTGAAAATCGTATTGAATTCCTATTTATGACCCTAAAATGGCAAAAAATGAAGAATGGTTATGACGAAGCGATGACTATTATTCATTAAGTCATTTATAATGGGCCTAAAAAATCTTAGGCGATTCGGAACCCGTTGTTCGAATTCATAAAGATGGCGTGGACATAAGCACACAAAAAAATTAGAAACCGTGTTGAATTACTATTTAAGGACCTAAAATGCCACGAGGAACGGTCATAGAGAGGTAATGACTATTGTTCATTAGGTCTTTTCTGATTGGCCCATAAAATTTTAGGCGACTCGGAGCCGGTCACCTGAATTCATAAAGATGGCGTGGTACACGAAAAATCAGAAAACATCCTGAATTCTTGGTTTATGGTCCTAAAAAGCCAAAAAAACGAGTAACGGTCAGGACAAAACAATGACTATAGTTTATTAGGTCATTTCTGGTAGGCCCACAAAATTTTAAGCGAATCGGAGCCCGTCGCCCGAATTCATGAAAATAGCGTGGACATTAATTAACACATGAAAAGTTGGAAACCGCTCGAGATTCTGATTTTATGTCCCTAAAAGACCAAAAATGAGGAACAGACGTAGGAAGCGATGACTAGTGTTCATTAAGTTGTTTCTGATGGGCCCACAAAATTTTAGGCGATTCGATGTTCATCGACCGAATTCATGAAGATGGCATGGGCATTAGCACACGAAAAATTAGAAATCGTCATAAATTCCTGTTTTATGGTCCTAAAACGACAAAAAAAAAAGGATTGATCTTGGCAAAGGATGACTATTGTTCATTTGGTCATTTCTGATGTGCCCACAAAATATTAGGTGATTCCGAGACCGTCACCCGAATTCATGAAGATGGTATGGACATTAGCACACGAAAAATTAAAAATCATCCTAAATTCCTGTTTTATGGCCCTAAAACACCAAAAACTAGGATGACTATTTTTAATTAGGTTGTTTTTTATGGGTCCAAAATAATTTAGGCAATTCGGAGCCTATCGCCCGAATTGATGAAAGATGGCATGGTCATTAGCACACGTAAAATTAAAAATCATTCTGAATTTCTCTTTTAGGGTTCTAAAATGTCAAAAAACGATGAACAATTATGGCGAAGCAAAGACTATTGTTCATAGGTCTTCTGATAAGCCCACAAAAGTTTAGGCGATTCGGAGTGCGTCGCCCGAATTTATAAAGATCGCGTGAATATTAGCACACGAAAAATTAGAAATCGTCATGAATTTATACTTTATGGCCCTAAAACGGCAAAAAGAAGAATGGTCATGACAAAGAAATGATTATTATTCATTAGATCGTTTCTAATAGGCCAAAAAAAATTGGCGATCCAGAGCCACTCGCCCGAATTCATGAAGAGACATTATCATTTTAAAAATTAAACATCGTCTTGAATTCCTGTTTTATGGTCCTAAAACACCAAAAACGAGGAACGATCATGCCGAAATAATGACTATTGTTTATTAGGTCATTTCTGATAGGCCACAAAAAATTGGAAATCGTCATGGATTTTGTTTTATGGCCCTAAAACGCCAAAAAACGAAAAACAGTCATGGCAAAGCAATGGCTATTGTTCATTAGGTTATTTCTTATGGGCCCACAAAATTTGAGACGATTCAGAGTCCGTCACCCGAATTTATGAAGATGGTGTGGAGCATATGAAAAATTAAAAATCTTCCTGAATTCTTGTTTATGGCCCTAAAATAATATTCTTTTATTGGTACATCAAGACTTTTCTGTATTAAGTAATACACTATTTCTTGATTTCCTTTAAGAATTAAACCTTGGCCTTATCTTTTTAAACAGGGGCCAACTATTTTTTACAGTCCAAGAAAGGGAAAAAACATCGCCGACAATTGGTTCAGCCAAAAAGGTAGCGACTACCATTTTACACACAACACACACACACTCTAATAGCAATGTTGTAGAAAAAAATGTAATGTTATGGAACGCCAAAAGAATCAATTTACATCACCTTGACATTGTAAAAAGAAGGAACCTTTTGCGAACCAGAACACATCTATTAAAGTGACAGGTACATCATTGACCTCTTCAAACATGTGAAAAGTCTTGCCCCAGATTTAAAGTCCAGAAATGGTGAACTCCAGAAACAAAAAGTGCAATTCCCTTTCTCACAAGTTACTTTTCTATCTTGACTCTAAATAAACGTAAACTAGGAAATTTATACCAAAAGCATAAATTCCTCTTCCGAAAATTATAATTCAAATTTCCTAATTTGCTTCTATTGCTTCGCAGACTGTACACTACTCCTATTCCTCTAACAAATGGTTGGATAGCTAGACATTCTGCAACTCCCTGAGGGAAGATTCCCAATATGAGTTACCAATATGCCAAGACTTTTTGCAAATGCATCATAAAAAATACTAACAAAATCTGCATAAGCAACAATGGAGTAACATAAGGATGTGTTACCACAGGCTGGAGGAGGGACTCCCGAAATTACGTTTTGCCTTAAATAAAGATGAAAACAATGTCACCCGTAAACATGATTACCAACAGGGGCCAAAGTAACTTTCTACGTTATAAGGTTGGTGAAACCAATCTTCCAGGTGTTGGTAAGACTGCCTCCTTCGACGATTTCTTTTAAAATTCACCTGATGTTGCATGGTCAATGCTAGAATCTGCATATCACGCCACACGAAGAAAACATTGCAAGTCGTCTACCTGTACAATCAGTGCCAAAGAAGATAAAAGGTAAGATGGTTAAATCAAGAAAAGTAGCACCAAATTAATATCCAATAACATCTGACAATGCTCCAGCTTTTCCAATTCCTTCCTCCCCCAAACCCGAGAGTGGGTGCCCCACGAAAAATAGAAGGAAAAACAGTAAGCAGAAGGAAAAAGGGGAGAAATCTGAAAATGCTATCCATTAAAGCATTTTGAAGAATAGTTCACAGATTAGGAACTATAAAAATAAATTTTGATGCACAATATGCAATGGAAGAAGAAAACAAGCAGCTGCATTGAAATATCAAGCCACAAAAAGAGTGCATATTCTCCTCATATTAAATTCATCTTTACCTCTGCCATTATCCTTCGAAGAGAATTCAGCAGCGCCTCCCAAATACCATTGAGGCATTGACAAAATATTAACTTTGCAGAACCAGACAAATTCATTTAGAAGTCCTAGGATAACATAGGTTCTGATTGATAATTCAGCTCAACCTGCTGAACACTGGCATAGACAAAGGAAAGACAAAACACAGGGAAACAAGGGATTAGTTAACTTGGACTGTACGAAGAACATCAAACTATAAAGACATTCACAAGAATGACAAGAGAAGAGGGCAAGAATAAAGGATAAAATATGATAAGTAGAGGGATCAAAATAACCAAGTTATTCTGGAATTATCCTACCAAAGCAGACGTTTGGATTTCATTGGATTTTAGAGATTCACCACAGATGGAAAAGACACTTTAATATGCAGCTAGAATTTAGGAGCTACTACAATAACTCCAGGTAATTGGAACAGGATAGAAAATCATTCCTCTAGATTATTATATGAAAAGAAACCATTCCTCAGAATATTACTTCTCTGATCTAGCAATAAGACCTTAAAGGTTGTGTAGACTAATCAATTTTCTCCCTTTGGAGCTTCTGATGATTAGCTTATTCAAATAATTACGACATACATATAAGATAAGTTAAGGTTCAAGATTAAAATTTTCATGCCAAAATATCAAACACATACCATTGCCGAAGTTTAAACATCCCAGTGCCTATCTGCATTGGTATGCCCGTGATGATGCATTCGCTAACTCCTTCTATCTTATCATCCCTTCCATTTACAGATGCATTAAACAGGTGGTCGGTTGTCTTCTCAAATGAGGCTAACATCAGTACGCTATCTTTCATTTTCTGAACGCCATGTCTGGTTATTCCCAGAACTTCACCCTATGAGAGAAAAAAACAGAGTGTCCATTAAACTTGTTAATCGGACATTAAAGGAATCCAACATGTTTTTGGATGAGGAAAATTTTCCAGTAAAACTACCTTATATGTCATCAGATCTGCTAGAAGCATCATGTGCCGCAAGTCTATTGTCATTCCATGACTTGACATGGTATAGTTAATCACATCAATTATAGAGATCCTTGCTGCTTCAATGCCTAGTCTTTGTTGCACCTCCATTATATGATTACTCTTTGTATTACGCCCATCAACTCTGTCAATGCCCATTACGGCTAGGAGACCGGTACTGCAGAAAGGAAAGAGCAAATCAGGTATCGTGTGGAAGGACTTCTATTTTATTGCAAGAACTAACTGGATCATGGAGTCACAGAAAAGAAAACCAAAAGCCCAAGCTGCTGAAAATTGAACCAAAACAGTAAGGTAGGACTGTTATTCTCTTGTACACTTCTTCACAAGATCCTCGAAACTATATTAGACAATATTATTTTGAAATAAAATTTGATTAGATGAGTTGCTAGCCTTCCAGTTAACCTCTCAATCAAACAAACAAATACAGATTTTCTGCACATACTTTATAATCCTTTCAAATTCTTTTTAATGATCTAACTGCAACAAACTAGCCCCAGAACAGCTCCAAATCATGATCTCGTGATTAAAATTGTTCCATTAATTACTTTTTCCAATTGAAAAGATAAATTTCAAAGTTATTCCTTAACTTACATAGATAAATAAATATTTTACAGTGTTCCTTCTTTCTAACAACTTAAACTTTTAGATGAGGTAGGTGAGACGCTTCAATATGGTATCAGAGCCTCCAGAATCTTGGTAGTAATTTTCATGTAACAACTACACAGCCTGCATAGACATAAAATGCAGCCCACAGTTATAGTTTTTTGTCTTCTTTCATATAGTTGAGATCATAATTGCATTTAATTTTTAAATTAGTTTGGTGTACTGTTATGGTATTTAGACTATGTCTAAATCATTAATTGCAAACATAGCATGCGTATGCAGGTCCCAAAGAAAAAAATAACAGAAAAATTTGCAACAACTTTACTGGATTTTAATGTGTATTTGTAGCCATTGACTAGTTAAATAAACTATGTTTGCTAATGAATATACTTTTAAAATTAAGATTTACCAATTTATTTTGATAGATACAATTAGATGAATATCTAATATTAGAGCTATAAATAATTGAAGATAATCAATTTGGTAAGGGGGCCATTATCAGTCCGAGACTACCCTGGCCTGTCCAAAAGGAGGTTACAAAGACTAAGATTGACCCAAGTTATAATCTACTTCACTTTAAGCAATTGTTTGAGAATGAGGTTTCAAATTCTCTAGATTGGTGCAACGTTTTCGATAACCTAACTAGCCCTCCTCTTAGGTTATTCTTTAATTTAACAAAAAAGAATAAGGTATGTGAAAGCGAAATAACTTTTGGAATCTCTCTTCCGAAAAGAGAAATAAGTTCTGAAATCTTGAATACATCTAGTTATTAGAATATTGTAGTGAATAACAGGCTTGCCACACCAAACAGAGCACAACCAAATGATGTAGAATGCGGAAGCCGTACATAAAACTTACCCTTCAACAAGCAACTCATATGTTTCTCCTTTGACATCACTCTTACAATCTCTTTCTTGTTCTTTGTTCACCACAGCCCTTTGAACCGTAGTAATACCCTGACATCCCGACAAGATTTACAAGTTGAAGTGAACAGAGTAGTTCGGACAAAAACCAACAGATTTAGTTTGATTTTAGTGTTGATAATTGTAATACCTTCACAACAACAGAAGGAAGCTTATTTTTCAACCGGTGAAGTTCAAAATGCAGTTTATCTTTATTTGCCTGAGGAAAAACTTCCAACTTCCTGGGGTTCAAAACTTTTACTTGCTGCAGAAAATAGGAATTTTACCCAATAAGATATAATTAATAGATAAGCAGCCGAACCAGAAACACAACCTTTCTCACCTGTTCTTTCAATTTTATTTTTGGGGTCTGCAAAATCGATTGCTTGACAGTATAAGCATCAATACACAGTTGTGACACCTGAATTGTCTCCATATCTAGCGTAATAGCAATTGATGCTAATCGAGATGCCATCACAATCTTTACACTCTTAGCCACCTGCACAGGAAATAAATGTTCAACTCACAAAGTACTTTGTTCAATGTCATTATGAGAGCTTCACAAATTAATCAAGGAGGTTTGAGTGGAAGAAGAAATGGCAGCAGGGATCAAAATATATTGCTCTAAACAGGGCAAGGAATATTTTTAACATTATGCATAATATTTTACAGATTTTAAGTAGTTTTTAATGAACTTCATATTTTCCAGAACAAGTAAATGCTACATAAGTTACGTAGAAAGTTGAAAATGTTGCATGAGTTATACCAAAGTTAAAACTTGAGTTCTTACCGGTGTTGCTTTCAGTAGATTTTCAATTGAGGAGTCATTTGATAAAAGCTTCTGAGAAAGAAGCAGTGTAGCAATCCAACTAGGGCTCGGTAGTGTTATTATCAATGACTTAGTTGAAGATGCAAACTATGAAGTAAAAAAANTCTAAAAAAAAAAAAAAAAAAAAAAAAAACCATCTCTAGCAGCATTCTTGCACAGTAAGCAGTTCAAGTAACTAAGCAGCTATTATATCATGAAAAAAACTGCTTAATACCTAAATTGACATCTCACTTGTCCTGGTTTGCAAAGACGGCCCCCGACTCCCCTTTTTCCCATTTAAAGACCTATACTTGGTAAAAACACATATTTTA